TTTCTATGGAATCTTTTACTAATAGAGAAGAAAAATCAAGGAAGTATTCAAGGACTTAAGTTGACTAGTTTTCCAATGAAAAAATAAAGTTTGAAGACAGGAAGTCTGCAACATCGCAAACGGAGATACGTGATTTTTTTTTCCACTTCCGCCGTTGATTTCTGAAAAGACACGTTTGATCTGTTACTCACAAAAAATGTTGTGACGAGCATTTTTTAAATTCGAAATACCCCAAGTCCTCTCAAGTGTTGGTGAAATGGCGCACAATGTTCTTCACTATTTAAAATAATAGACGAGAAAAAAATAAAATAAAAATGGAAAACCTGAAAGCTCTTGTTTCAAAACATTTTTATCAAGAAATTTTCTCTAAATTGCGATATTATTTTTAGGACATGAACTATTGTCCGTTGGCTGAAAGTCTCATGTTAAAGAAGAATGAAGAAATCATGTTAGTCATTAAAATCTTAAAGAAGAATCATGTTGCACAATATGTATAGTCATTGGCAACCACTTTTAAGAGGGGAAAAAATTAAGAAAAATTTAGTAGTACTAGAGTATATTCGTTTTATAGGGGTGCCTAACAACTTAATGTACTGAAGAAAGTAGTCTCGTAAGCTGTCATGTCGTTTTTGAATAATTTTACTTGCAGGAAAAGGCAAATGAATATGCTGTAATGTGATTGAAACCATACGTCAGAGAGATCTCCATGTCACCAATCGGTGGTTGCCATCAAGATAGATTCAGATCTTCAACCTGATGTGGCGCGTCATGAGGATCGATATGATTTGAGGATAAGTTAGTCCAAACGCCTTCAATTGCGTGTATATGCAATACGGGCATCCGCCGAACACGAATAGTTGCTTTCTATCTTACGCATTGCTCAAAGAGGCTTCACGCGCACGCAAACTTATCGTCGTTCCCCAGATGAAAGAACGCAAATCCATTCCTAGGGTGCGGAATTGACTTGAGCAATTCAATTTCTTTTTGCAAAAATGTACCTGTGTAATTTGTTTCAAAAATTATCTGATTTTTGCACGAAATCAGAAGAAATACCAGTGCAATTTTCAGTTAGAAATGCCCAAGATTCTTCGGTTAAATTGCAATTTGTAAGGCAAATTTTGCAACATTGAATTTTAGTTACATTCTTTTGTGTGGGGAATGACGTTATATGAAATAAATAGATATTGAGAGGGCGTAATTTATTTAAGTGTTAAATTTGCCGTTTTTTTAAATTATCTCAGATAACATTCAAAAACTCCGATCGCCATGTTTTCTATTTAAAGAGATTACTTCTTTTTATATCATTAATATCATTATTTTGAAAGTGTACTGCGGGATAAAACGTATCCATTTTACCTGAGTTAAACCCACTCGATTTCCACTATTTTAGGTTTTTTCTTTGTTTAGTAGGTTGTGCTCAGGATGCCTAAATTTATTCTCTCCTATTTTCCCCCTCCTCTTTTTTTAGAATCTTAAAAAATATTCGGGACTTAAGTTCAATCCACAAAATTAAACTTTTCTTCTGCATTAAACCCAAGACGGACTCACCTTGCTGAAACGTCTTCCTCAAATCTTGAAAGCGAGACTGAATCATGAATCTGGGACCAGAGGCTCACCCTATTGTAACCGGCGCGCGGCCTGCGGTGAAATTTCCACAGGGATGATCTCTGAAAAGTCATTTAACAGCGTCTCAATCGGCTCAGACCTCTTTTGAGGCCAATGCTGCCGAGCTAAGAAAAACCCCGTATAAGCCTTCAGACGTTGCCAAATTTCTTCCGATGAAATACTAATTTTCAAGGAAATTTGTGGATATTTTTCTTTGAATTTTCCAGAGATTTTAAGTTGCAATTTATTTTACTGTATCTAAAAATTTCAAGGAAAAATATTCACATCATTTCTCAAAAATTAATGATTTATGAAGGGAGATTTGGCAACATCCGGATGTTCTTACGGCGTTTTTCCTTAGCACGGCAGAATGACAGCCAAAGCTGAAAATTCCTCGGCGACGTCCTCAAACATTCCGAGAAAAGGTGAATCGTCTCTGTTCGGAGGAAACACCGATTAGTTCCCGTCCAAACATCTTCTGAATGAGGAAATCTTTTCCTCGGCTCGCAACTGAATGCAACCCGTCATACCTGCAAAAAAGCATGACTGTACTTCCAGACGAGCCCCGTAATCCGTATAACCGAGCACTGTTCGGGGTTCATGTTGGAAATGGACTTACGGAGTCATACCGCTATCGTGAATGACTGTTTCTCCGCGACAGAAATTAATTAAGCAAATTGAGGGGGTGCGCCTCGTGGCCCAAACGGGCACAGGACAAAGATCATTGAGGCGGGGGAGGAGAGAGGGGTTGCGTTGAAAGGAATTAAAATTCTGAAAGAATGGGGTTTCGGGAGCGGTATCCAGGATAATTGGGGATTTTTGTTGGGATGAAGGACGAAAATGTAATATACCTAACTTACGCTTTGCGTGCCTTCAGTGGAGCAATTAAGCATTCTTGTATATTTTATAGGCGTATGCACTGAGGTGTACAGTTTCGACGCGAGCAAATACCTTCTGACTCTCATCGTCACGAGATGAGCGGAATGTTTGATGATTATCCGTCGTCCGTTAAGATAAACACAAATTTCAATCAATTGGGAGAAATTTTAACTAAATTATCCATTCATCAATTTTTAGCGATTTGATCTCTTTATCGCAATTTCATTAATTTTGATCAATATAATCTACTTTTCAACACTTTTACTCCAGCTTTTCATACAGAGTGGTTATTGAAATCAATAGAAAAAGCAATATACAAAGAGGGAAAAGGAAAAACGGAGCAACCCTATTGGATGAAACGTGTGATCGGTACAGACGTAAGGGAAGAAATATGGATAACCACAGGGCCGTGGGTTGCCGATAGTTAGTCGCGTTGAAATGCTCATACGGCGCGGCGTTGAGACACGACATGGGCCTTTTAGCTCCATTTTTCGATGCCGCGATTATTCTAGCGCGAGTTCAAAAAATCGCGCTAAACAAAGTGCGGCCGGCGTTGAACGTATATTAGCGCCTGCAAGACCTCTGAAATACTTCACGCATTGCGCCAAATGCAGTGCAGTCCCAGTCGGTTAGTTGGCGTGAAACGCGCCATATGGCGCCTATTACAAGCCTGTTGTATAAATGCTGTAGGACTGCGTGTCATCATTCTTGACTTTCTGCTTCAGTTTTTACTATAATTCAAAGGAAAATGTGTATCCTCATTGTAACGATTCAGAAACTCGGATGATCATTTTTGGGGTTACATTTAAAATACATACAAAATTACATACAAAAATACGGTGAAAGCTCGCTAAGTCGAATTGCGTAGGGACCGCCAAAAAATTTTACTTAAGCGGCAATTCGTCTTAACTGTAGTTCAACTTAGCGAGCTTTTACTGTAAAACGAACGAAAATATCGCGTCGAAATTTTCGATACTTTTACGTGAGATCATTTAGGTAAATTCGCGCAAACTTTTCAGAGAAACTGCGTGTAGCTTTTTAAAACCATGTATTTAAAATAAAATATAAAAGTTGTGCATAAAGTTGCAATCGGAGAAAAATATACGCTTTCTTTCGGGTGCACCCGTCGAGCTATGAATCCACTCATCTCATAAAAAACTTGAACATGGTTGTTCTACGATTTTTAACGTGTAGTTTTTTTCAGCGGTTGGCGGCCACAGGCCCCTGCCCCTAGTTCACTTTTTAAATGTCTGTGAAAGCTCTCTAGGCTATTCATGCTGCAAATGAACAGTGTTTCACGATGTAGTTATCTACTACAAACTACCAAGGTTGCCAGATTAACGCTTCCTTGTGGAATACTGAATATTCGCGCAAACAAGTTTTCAGTACCAGAAAAAGTCACGCAATCCTATGCATCTCCAAAAAGGTAAAAAAGGGGGCATTCGCGCAATCCTATCGCAACCCAATGGACAAAGGAGGTAGGTAATAGACTAACTAACGGCAGCCCTCGAGAGACCCTATAGTTAGTACATACTTTTCTCCCTTGTCTATCGGAAACACCCGTCTCAACCAATAGGATCGCCACATATCGACGGTGTAAGTCGGCAATCACATAACTCGGTTTGCGACGTCGCAGACTTCCTGTCATACTTTATTTTTTGAACGGAAAACTACTCAACGGCAATGGACCACTAGACAAGGTACGAATTTCAGCATTCTGATACATGATTCGTAACTAAAATTTCACGTAGAATACGACGCGCACAACGAAAATTACCGAATTCAACTCCATCCAAAGATATTTAACGATTCTTGATACGTGAATTCAAACCACCCGCTCATAAAAACTCAATTCTCTACGTGATTCACATCGCGCGCTGAATGTTATTATTACAGTCTCTGCTGTATAAAAATCTGGCAACCTCAATCTTGACGCTTTGGCTCAGCTATAGCAAATTTCTTACCTATAGTTTGAACAACACATGGTGGAAAATGAACATTGCTCGATTGAGAAGCTTTCTGAAACCGTTGTAGTGAGCGATTTGACTCACGTAGAGCTTTGAGTTTCTTGAGAGCGGGCAGTTCAAATTCCTCGTAACCAATGTGAAATAAAAACGATAATATCTTCGTTAGGAGTTAGTTTCAGTAAGTTTCGTTGAGCGAATCGTGTTTTACGTGAAATTCTGGTTAAGAAACATGTATCAGATTGCTTAAATTCGTACCTTGTCTAGTGGTCCATTCTTTGAAACGGCCGTGATTTTTCTTCTCTGTGCAAAGAAAATTCTGCAAAAATTTCAAGGAATGATGTCAATTTGTTCTCCTGTAAAAAACGACATAGATGCGGAGATTTTCAGACACCGCAAACGAGTTATGTGATTGCCAACTTACACCGTCGATATGCCCTATGTCTTCTTTATATTTAGTTTTGTCTATCAATTTCAACAATCAGCCCGCAGCAATCTACGAAGGGTCTCATTTATTGCTGGTAATTACACGGAAAAAACGAAGGCGTAATCGATGCTTGATTTGAATGATTAATCAATTTATTAATTTGTAAGCTTTTATAAATCGGGAATGCCCGCGGAAGAGCTTCGGTTAATTATGGTGCGTTCCTTGATCCATCCCGAGCATGAGTCTTCATATGAGTTTGCAGCATTTGACGGCTTGGGAGCACCGCCTGGCAAATTTGGCACGTCATTCCTCCGAAGTGATCTCTATCCTTGTGCAAACGCAGCTGCATAGCGTTTTGAAAAGTTCGCCCACAATCGTCCTCATCGCATTCGAAAAACACTTTTGAAAAGAGGAAATTGAAAACAAGTCAAAACGGTGAAACGCGATCGTAAAGCAACCTTTGTTCAGCGAGGTGATTATTTAAATTGGTAGACGAAGCAATAGATGGTGGCCAGAACAGGCTATAAATTATAATCCTAGCTGTTACGATTATTACTATAAGTGTAAATACTGAAGATTTCTCGTCTAACAAGAAAAACATATTTATGTCTCTTCTTCTTAGTGATATTATTTTTCACTCAATTATAATAGTTTTATTTTTTCTAAAAATCATTATAGTTGCTAACACAAGGATAAAAATAACTAAAGGGTGTGCTACAAACACCCGTTTCAACCTATGAGATTGCTCCATTTTCCATTTGTCTCCTTTGTGTATCGCTATGTCTATCAATTTCAATAATCGTGCGCTAAGAGGGGAACCGATCTTATAGGAATTGTCTCCGGTCCCGTTAAGTTACTACATCAACTTTTTTGGTAAAGAGAACATATTTTGTCGTTCCTTGAACTAAAGAACGTGACAATACGTACTTTCTTTCTTAAGATGCATGATTGGTGACTCGAGCAATCCAATTTTTTGTACGGGTTACAATGCTCATTTATAAATGTCGCAGGCAAATAGTGAAATCAGGCATTTTGTCAAATGCCTAGGCAGATAGTTAAATTTTGACGGTCTGTACAATTTTTTGAATTTATGGCGAGGAGCTCGCAAGTTTTCAATATTTTTTGGAAAAATAACTCATCAAACCTACGAATTCTTTTTGTCTCTTCCTCTTTATTTGCCTCTCATATTTTTAAATGATGAAGTCCTAAAAATTCTGTATTTTATGACATACTAGAAATTTCCAGGTAAGTGTCTGTGCAGGAGCTAAAAACGGTTTAAAATACTATTGTGCGATGCAAATTTTTACTAAGAATTTTGTCTTACAGGAGAAATTAATTATTTTGTCAAAAATTAGGAAAAGAAGCAGAATTTCAATCTAAGTTAAAATATTTGACTATTTGCCTAGGCATTTGACAAAATGCCTAATTTTACTATTTGCCTGCGACATAAACATTGTCGACCATCTTTTTCCCCCTTTTTTCCCACTTCAAGTATCCCTGAGGGGATAGTCACACGCGTGCAGTCCCGGATCTTGGTCAGACGTTCGACAATGACGTGGCGTGCTTTGCGATTTATCGATTGATCTGCCGTTTAAACCTATGGAAAAGGATCGACAAACGGGATGTTCGCAACGAACACCTTACAAAATCGATTCTTTACCACAGCCTCAAACTGAGAAATATCGAAAATTGATCATCCATGCCTCGCCACGAACGTTCGAATGTAAATATTGGCAGCGACATTCGTATGCTATTCTATAATTGGAAGGTTGACTGATTTCCAAGGAATTATGTTTCGACATGTTCACGCGTTGATATAATTTACTTTTGAATAGAGCTATCGTGGTTTTTCAGGGCGCTACCCTATTTAAGACCCTTTTTCACGCATCTTGCGCCCCTCAGTTTCAAAAAGGTCCTTGGTCCTTAACTGACGTGCTATGTTACCATGTTCACTGGTAAAAAAAAACACACATTGGATCTAGAGTCCAGACTCTTGAAAACATTGACAAGAAAAAGGACTCTTGATTCAATCAGATTTAAGCTTAAATCCAAAGGAAATCCGCTCATATTAAGAGCCCTTCAACGCTCACTGGAAAAAAAACACACATTGGATCTAGAGTCCAGACTCTTGAAAACATTGACAAGAAAAAGGACTCTTGATTCAATCAGATTTAAGCTTAAATCAAAAGGAAATCCGCTCAAATTAAGAGGCTTTGTTCTTGATGATTTAAGCTTAAATCTGATTGAATCAAGAGTATTTTTTCTTGTCGATGTTTTCCAGAGTCTGGACTCTAAATCCAATGTGTTTTTTTTTTTCAAGTGTTCTAAAATTTTTTAGCACTCTCGATGTGAATATGTCCCGTTTCCTTATTTCCAATACGTTAGTGTTACAAATTGTTATGACCTATATCTTATTCAATGCTACAGATATTTCGAATTTTAATAGCTTTCGGTCGAAAGAAAGATCCGGAAAAATTAGCAGTATCAATACTTGTCGAAAAAGAAAAAAATTTACCTGCTCCGTGCTCTGACTCCATATGTTCGTTGTACTTCTTTTTGGTAAGAAAGGACGTGGGATTTTCGCATTTGGGGCATGTATATTTTCCTCCTATTCCATCATGTGTCGCCGTGTGTCTCTCGAATTGCTTTTTATACGTGTAAGCTTTTTCACACACAGGACATATGAAATCCCCAATGTTTTTCCTTTTCGATCCTTGAAAATGATATGACATAGGACAAAACAGACACACTACGTGAGACGTAATTATGAGAATAGAAAAGATTCTCATTTACACTGGGCTGTTGTAGCCAGTGGTCGAGAGAAGGGTGGGGGGGGGGGGGGGGGGGCGCACTCCCCAAATGATACTTCTCGCTCAGGAAGTGCAATGACAAGATATGAAATTATTCGTGATCGATAATATGTTGTCCTAAATTTCTAGAGTGATCCAAATTATTATTCATCACAACGCTGAAGTACCGAAAGCATTTTTGTATGTATTTTGTGCAAGAAGATATTTCCAATGCAAAAAAAAAATAAGGTTCAAAATCCCGTTTTGAGCAAAGCAATAAACTGTGAACTGATACTTGTTGAAGAACTAAACAGATGTTCGACTTCTAAGCCCAAGGATCAATTAATGCTAAAAATCATTTAAAGTGATTCAACCCAACTCAACTTTTCCTGTTAGAATGTGTTTTTTCTCGACATCATTAATTTGTGATTTGATTCTTTGTTTACTCACTATTTCCTCCTTGAACTGAATGGAAAAGGGTCGTGCAGTTTCCATAAATGTTAAAAATATTCCGAAAATTCTTCGTAGAGAGAGAGGAGACTAGTTAAGCCCCCCTCCCCTCTCCTGATAGCATAGCGGTCTCCACACAGCTTGATCTATCATCGAACCCACCGCATGTTCCTGAAATGGACATTTGAGGGGCTTCTTCGAGGACAAGGCGCATTGCAGTTTTGCTATTTCGAGAAATATTCGTTTGGAGTTTCGCAATCACATGCGGATCCTCAGGGCGGAAAGAAAGTTCAAATTGACTTTTTGATGCTTAAAAATCGGAATTTGGGAGCAAATTTTCCACAGAATGTGCATCAAGACTAGTTTTACTTGAAATCATTAATATCTCAATTTTTTAAAAAAACTGCACTTATGCGCCTTATCTTCCAAGCCCCTCATTCGATCATTTCTGTTTCTGTTCGTGTTACCCCTCTGGATCTTGTATCTAGGTAAACTTGGAAACATTGTAACAAGGTGGTAAAATAGTGCTGGGCTCACACGATTTTGCGGGGAAATCAAGGCCAAAAAGCTCAAAAGTTATGGCCTTGTTTTCCCCGCAAAATAGTGTGGACCCAGCGCTTTTTTACTACCTTGTCACGTGCACTTTCAGTCCAAATCTTTGTCTTTCTTTTTCTCTTGGAAATATTGATAGCATGGACATGCAGACCTCTAAACATTCATGGTGCTCTCGACATTTTGAAAAATCACAGGACTTACTTGAACCACGCGGACGCGAAGGACTTGCAGGAGGTAGAGGGGGATTCGAAGTCCCACCTTCGTGTTCCAACTCATCATCACTACCGAATCCGTAAGCACTTACTCCAAATGAAGAATCAACCGGCAACTCAGGACTTAGTGGAGGAGGAGTTTGGCCTCGCATGCCACGGAGTGAAGAACCTCCAGGAAATGGAGGGGGATTCGAAGTTCTGCCACCGTGTTCCAACTCATCATCACTACCGAATCCGTAAGCACTCACACCGAATGAAGGATCTACTGGCAACCCACTTGGTGGAGGTGGAGTACGGCGTGGAGAGCCGGGGAGTGAATCGCCGAATGAGAAACCTGTGAACTGGTCGATGTTGGACGTACCGAATGAAGGTGGTACTTTTACTGAAGGTAATACACGCGCTGCTGAAGGAGCCGTACCTCCTGAAGGAGGTACACGCACTGAGGGATATACACGTGGTGGAGGATTTGCGGCACGTGGTGGACTTCGAGGGGGTGAAGGACGCGTGAGGTACGAAGAGCCTGAAGGTTGATAATAGCCTCCGGGGTAGGGAGCTGCACTGCTCCAGCCACCGGTTCCTCCGGTTTCGAAAAGATTTACACTGCTCCAGCCTGCGGTTCCTCCGGTTTCGAAAGGATTTACACTGCTCCAGGCACCGGCTCCTCCGGGTTGAAAAGGATCTGCACTGCCCCAGCCACCGGTTTCTCCGGGTTGGAGAGGATTTGCACTGCCCCAGCCACCGGTTCCTCCGGGTTGAAAGGGATTTGCACTGCTCCAGCGACCAGCCCCTCCGGTATCTTGTCTCTGACTCGTTCCTTCCAAAGGTCTTTTGCTTCTGTCGCGGCTTGAGCTGGAAGACGCCCCTCTGGACAGGGGCGGGGGTGGGTTTCGCCGGGTCGGATCCATGTTGAAAAGTTCGGACGCGCAGGTGTCAACGGTGAGAATTTTTGCTCTCGCACCAAATGCTTCTTCTAGCACACAAGGAGGGACCTGCACAATAAGAAAAAGTAACGGAAATGTTGTATTAATATAAGAAGCATAGCAAGCAATACATAGAAAGCAGCTGAGCACTTTTCTAGTGCGAACGTTCAGAGCTTTCCTGTTTGCTTGTTTTTTTTTGTTTTTTTTTTTTGTTAGTTTTCCTTGAGGTTACATGCTGGCGAGGCGTGAACGATCTATTTCCGATATTTCTCCATTTGATGCCATGATAAAGAATCGATAATTAAGGTGTTCGTTGCGAACACCTTGTTTATCGATTCTTTTCCATAGGTTTAAATGGCAGGTCTATCGATATATCGCAATGCACACAATGATTAGATCAGCATTTTGGTGCTCTGATATTTGGTTTTTCGAAGTTTTGGCAAGATTATGCTGCTAGTTTTGCTAGAAATTCACCTCTAAAATCCGCTAAAATCCCTCCAACACTTTCGCTAATGGACGTGTTTTCGCGCGCTTCAAATCGGGTGACCAATCAGAACGAGGACCATCCGCCTCGAATTGTTTTCTACACGGTGATCCCAGAATGCATTTCGCGGATAATCACTCTCTTGATTGGTCGATCGCTTCCCGGCGTAAGACAGGAGTGCGAGTGCCCGTTTTGATTCTAGGTTACCCTAGTAACTTACGGTTTCGGTCGATATAACCATGAATTTTTGTCGATTAACCTCACCGCGGCAGCATTATGATCAAAGACATAAAGATGGAGCGCTGAAAGCAAAAAATGAAGCTTCTCTTCAACCACCTCTACTATTGGCCAGAGGATTGGCGGCGAAATCGGGACAAATTTGAAATTCAAATGTAGCGCAGGAACTGAATAAAATTGCGTAGTCAAATTATTCTAGGTTGATTTTTGCCCAAATTCACGTACCCACATATATTTTTTTAACTCTAGGTTATATTTTTGGTCCGTCATCGACCGATTAATTTCATTTGGAAGTAACGGTCATCTATAGGACTGTAACGGCCTAATTGAGCCGGCAGGACCACTATGAGCAGAAGAAAAACTAACTTTATCTGAGATCCTTGCTTGTTACCGAGCCAAAGTAGGTGTATTATAAAAATTCACCGTCCCAAGTTTCTTAGTATATTCGTTTTAGGCATTTAAAATACGTTTCGAAGAAGAAATGTGAAAAAATCAAGAGGACAAGTTTAAATCAAATTTCCGTTTGCCGCCATGGATTCCCGCGCTCATTTACGTACTCACACAAGCGCCCAGCACCAAACCAGGATACGAGCACTCCGTCTTTATGTCTTTGATTATGATCCCGAAAAAGTTGTTGAAGAATTCATTTGGTCAAAAGGTACAGACCTCGACGGAGCACTGGTAGGCCTTTTCGCCTGGGACGAGGCGACACTTGGCATTGCGCCACCCGTGGCAAATATTAACGTTGAGACGGTCGAGGGATTGAAATACCTGCTTGCAAGTCAGGTGCGCAGCCTGCCTCATTTCGGCAGGCGACCCTCCCGTGACTTGACTGCACCGGTTCGCCGCATCGTGAACAGCCTGGATCGCCGTCGTCCAGCTCCAGTCGGCTGATTGCATCTGTGGATTCAGAACAGAACGGAGGTCTACAGAATCACTTGGCATTGACGAGATGCCCTCATGGACGAAAAATGAAATTTCATTTCGCCCGAAGTGTGCTATCATTTTCAATTTTTCAGGGGCTACAACCGCAAATGAAAGTAACCCGCAACAATGGACAACAGTGATGGAGATGATGTGTGTGTGAGGAATTTGCGATTTGACTATGGATTCTTAAGTAAAAGTTGGCAAGAAACACGATGGTGCCACTGGTTTTCCCTGAAATCAACTCCCAAGCTCAAAGCTCTCAAAGTTGAGGCAAAATGGAGGGGATATCCCACGCTATCCTGAGAGTCCACCTCTACACCAAGACAAACTCTCAGTGCAAAAATAGGGAGCAAATACATTGACAGGGCTGCCACTTAATTTGGGGAATCTAAAACTGAAAACACGGCAACCCTGCTAATGTATTTGCTCCTTATCTTTGCATGGAGAGTTTGTCTTGATGTAGAGGTGGACTCTTAGGATAGCGTGGGATATCCCCTCCATTTTGCCTCAACTTTGAGAGCTTTTTAGAGCTTGGGAGTTGATTTCATGGAACACAAGTGGCACTATCGTGTTTCTCACCAACTTTTACGTGAGACTCAAAAGTCAAATTGCAAAAACCTCACACATGCAACATCTCCATTAAAGGAGGTGTGATCGTGAGTCAAAGCGCTGCGTAACAGGATTCCTCTTCAAAATTTCACGAATCGGACGACGAATCACACAACAGGAAGTCTGAAAATTAACTCCTTAACAAGATATGCGTGCTTACAGTTGAACCTATTTATACCAAAAGGAACTATGTGCATAGGGATTGCGTGTAGCATATAGCTCCTTTTAGCATAAATACGTCCAGGTAACATTGATCAAATGGCAAAAATTCAAATGACGCCATTTGTACGATTCCATTTAATCTATGTTAAACATATAGTGAACTTTTCGTTACCCGAACTGGCCGACCGCCGCGCCAGATTAGTCCGGATAACAAAAAGTTCAGATAATCCGGAGTTAGTTACTACTTTTCGTAAAATGAATGAAAATTCGACTGAAAGCTACTTTAATTTTATTAGTTGCTTCAGCTCGCTCGCGCCGCTAGCCGGGGGCTTGATTTTCATTCTCAAGTTATGCCAACAGTTCTTTATTGAGGTTTTTTTTACTAAATGCAAGACGCCACTCTATGAATGTTTGGTAACCGATTGAAAGACCCTATGAAGTAGTATCAAGATGCTTAATGTTTTTGATACAAATATTTTAACTCCAGTGTGGGCGGTGAAGTATCGCGCGATATCGAAGGCGTTTTTGACGGGTGAAAACAGTTTTTCGTAGCTCACAACACCGCAAACAGTGTAAATGGATCAAATGAATTCGCATCTCCCTATTATTTATTTGAAAACCTAACAATAGCTTTTCAATGACATTTTTTTAAACATTTCTTAAAAATTACTTTATTTCTTCGCTCAATTTTGTTTGAAAAGCAAAAAAACATTTCCAATTTTTTTTTGACTCCGGAGATGTTTGCATAAAATAGGACGGGAAAAGGCGGGGACGAGGCTGAAAAAAACACAATAATTTACAAAAAACGGGATCTTTCGACCCGGAGTTATATCGATGTTTTCATATGTGCTAGCATGTACAAAAAATAGTATTCAGAAAATTCAAGAATATATTTTGGACACTTTTCTTTTAATAAAATAAAATATTATCCGAGGTTTTGAAACATTCCAATAGGAGTTTTGAATTTTTAATTATAGTCATCGATATGTAGGATCGGCTTCAAATACTTTCCCCACGAAACAAATGAAAACGAACCCTCAATTTTAAGCTAACTAATTTTGTGCAGTATAAAGTGGAAGACTACTGTCATTGGAATCATCCTTTTCCCATTGAATGTTTCCAATTTTTTTTCCTACGCAAAACACATACTTCAATGTTTTATTCCTCATATGTATATAAAACATCTAACTCACCGCCTCTCCATAATGTCTGAGGAGAAACCACAACCGTAGTATGAACACAGCGTAGCGCGGGTTAACGAATCTCAAAGGCCTCATTTGCGAGACAATCTTTTCGAGCTCAGTGATTAAAGGTTCTCCTTGTCTTTAGAGGGAAAACATTTGAGAGAGACTAAAACACTGACTTTTCGACTGGCTCTGATTACGCCCTCAGCTCTGATTTGAACCCCACCGGCCTCAAACGGCAAAAGCAAATTCAGAGAACCAACGCTTAGCTCCGAGGTATAAAAAAAAAAATTAAGGTTGATGTGACATTTCTAGAAATCCATATCACCAAAAAACTCCCACAGGTGCATTGACGCAGAAATATCGCCCCCTCTCAGCACTCAAGAGCAAGGCCACCCGCATGTGACGATGTTATATTGAAAATTCCAAGAAAATTGTCTGTAATATTTTCTACTTTTGACGGCCATCTGTGTCTAGTATATTGACCTTTTATCTCGTGCATTATTTGCGTGCATTATTTAGCTGTTTTTTTTATACATATTCGTCTTTCTTATCGCGCGATCAGTGGAATATTAAAGGTTGATATGACTCCAGCGCTGCACGACAAGAGTGTTACTATGTATTTTGATGGCTAAAATGAGGTTCGTATTCATAGTCGTTTCTTAAACAGCATATTTCCCTTGGAGGCCTCATACGGTTTACATGATGTTTAAGGGTGGTCTATGGGGATCCTTAACATAGATCATTAAAATGATATTTGGACTGAATTTTGCAATTTGGAACTATAAATTCTTATTATTCTATATCGTTGTAGCGGTATGCGATTGAATACATTGCCCTGCTTTTTTTTTTAGCTTGGAGCGCGATGTATTATCTTTCTTTCTCATTTAATAGATTAGCCAACCAATTGGCATTCCAATGTCTTTGATGAAATTTTACTCAATGTTGAGTTTTTGTGCGACCTAAAGTCTATTTACAAGTATGGACGATCGCATTTCTTTGCAATATTTCAAGTCTGCCGGAAAACTATTGCTACAATGCAACTCTTCCATAGAAAACCGGCAGATGAAAATGAATCGAGTGGCGAAAGTTAAGGAAACTAAAACGATTCTCCAAGAAGATATTCCCTTATCTGAGCGGTAAACACCTAATGCTCATTTCTCAATCGCGAGACACAAAGATACAAAGTTGCAGGAAAGAGGGAAGACTGGATTAAGAGTTGCAAAGCCCTCTAGAGTGAAAATTGTACCTTACGTTAATGATTGAAGTGTTGAAAAGGTAATGAATTCTTGGAGTTACGAGCATGAATAATTTATCACATGCTGGCGGTCCGCCGTTGCCAACCTGACGCGCCAACTTTCCCGGTCCGCTCCGCGGGGAATTTCGCGCCACGAAGTCTGGTAGCCATGGCGCGGCTGATAATTCAATCGTTTCGCAAAATTACAGGTTCCGAAGCACTAATCAAGGAAACATTTTAATCGGTGACGCCTGTAAACAACCGGCCGTGAGGTTACCAATTATACCGGGCGGTTTTTACGGCAGGTATTAAAAAGTAGTAAAGTTTTACAGTTTTTTAAATACGCTTTGGCGCCTTTTAAGTATAGTAACTAAAGCTTTTAAGTATAGCTTTCAAATATGGGCTCGAAAAGAGGTTAATTCGAGCGTATCAGCCCTGTGATTCGTATTTTATCGGCTCCTCAGGAGGGCTGTCGGCTTACAAGGGGCACCCTGTATTTCCCATTCTAACACAGCTCGATTTCTTATTTAATCTTGAAATGTGGCAATCCTGCCTCTGGTTGGCCGCCTCTTCATTTTTCTGAATGTTTTGTCCGCTGTATTTTGCATACGTGGATGAGAAAGTGTGGCGTATCTTAAAATAATCGAAGGGGTCAGGCAAATAGTGGGTTCATCACATACCTACGGAAAAATTGAACGGTTTCGAAGGAGGAACAAATCTATTTGCATACAGACTTCCTTTTTTATGATGATATGTCCTCCCAGTGGTAGTGAATTCTAGATCTAATCGGAAAAGTATAGCTGTGGTGGAAGTGTCTGTGCTCTCTCTCGCTTTTTCGCTGCATGGTATGGTAACATGCATGTAAGGACATGGCCAATTCATAACAATAAATTAAGAAGGTGCAGGTGTCTGAACTTGGTGAATTTCATATTAAATGAAACTATTAAGAAAACTAAAAAAAGAGAATATCCTTGGTCTCTAAATTGAATCATTCATGGAGGAGATATCACAAAATAACCAAGTCTGCTAAAATACATGTGTTTAAATGCATGGTATAAGCCGCCAGAACACGTTTTAAGGCGGTACATTTTCTCCTATTTAAATCTAATTTTCTCAACAATTGCCCTTATCAGATTTTTTTTTCTTAAAAAATACTGCAAACTCTGCTTGCTAAGCACTCTGAGACGAAGCAATACAAATTTTCGTGAAAATTCTCCATTGTTTCCGGAAATACAGCGTAACCGTAGTCGCACCAGTTTTCTACTTATTTTCTCCTCAAGTAACAATTGCATTTTTAAGTTTTAAAATGTATCTTGTACCACTTAATTAAACTCCGGGTTGAAATTTATTCAGCCTACTTTAGATTAAGAATACGAATTGGACGTATTCAAGCTAAAAGGACCTAAGCGAATAAAGTGTGCGAGCAACATAGTTCTTTTTAGCAATAATACGTCCAATTCATCCCCCAAAAGGCAGGGCTCTGCTTGGATGAGTATCGCGAATGCTTACAATAGTTTCGGAGGCATGCATTCTCATCACTTTGAATCACTGCATTGGAACCTCCCACGCTTCCCTGTTCCACTCCAGGGCATCGCATCATCCGTATTTTCGTAACAGCAGACAAAAGAACTTACCGGCTCAGAGCATCTGAATCTAACTCCGTAATGCCCCCCGACTAAAAATAGGAATAATCCATACCGATCAAGGAGAAACTTACTCGGGGCTTCACCGCATTGCCAATAAAAAAATATCTTAACAGGGATGTTGAGACCAGTGATATACTGCCGCACTGAGGAAGAACGTAGTATGAGCGTTTGAACGTTGCAAAAATTCCTTTGATAAAATATAATAATTGGTGAAGGAAATTCGTAAATAGTTTTTGCGAATATATTTAGGGAGGATTTTATCTGCAATTTGATCTAAAGTTTGGAACAGTGGGTCAGTTGCGCTGGTCACTTAATCGTGTTTTGGTTATTAATTCATGTAGATCAGCTAAAAATAATAAGATCAGCCCAAATAGCAACTCCCTCCTTTAAATATTAACAGAGATATTGCGCTTTGAAAAAATTGATCTACGACGTCATCCACCGCGGTAGTGACACCCTTGGTTTCCTCCACCTTGCTTTCGTCCGAGTTTTACATTGAGTAACCTATGAAAACCCATGTCTTCTCGACTGAGGAAAGTAAGGCGGAAGAAACCAAGGGTGTCATTACCACGGTAGATGACGTCACGAGACACTTTTTTCGAAGCGCAATATCTCAGCTCATGTTGAACATTATAGAGGGTTCCTGTTTGGACAGAATTTGTTATTTTTAGCTGATCTACATGAATTAAACATCAAAACACGATTCTGTGACCAGCGCAACTGACCCATTGAATCTCTTAGTTCAAAAACGGCCCAACTCGAGTTTTTCCCGATGTTCCTCTTTTGCGTGGAGATACTCCTTTTTTGGTTGTTATGCAGTTTTTATAGTCTCTTGAAAAAATTTAATTTTTCTGAGATGAGCCGTTTCCGAACCGAGAGATTCAACACTGAAAAAAAAATCTCGGTGTATTTACTAAGGAAAGGGTAAAATTACCAAGAATTCAGGGTTCTATTTGATCCCAGTTTTTTCTTGGTAAAATTACAATTTATGGAATTGGTAATTTTACCGAGAAATCTCGGTAAAATTATTGAACTTTCTCGGTAATTTTACTGGACCTTGGTAAAAACGCCAATATTTTTTATCGACTGTAGTAGAATTACCGAGATAAAATGGCAAAGTTATCGGGAATTGATTACCAATAAAAGTGGTATTCTTACCTGAAAAAAACAGTAAAATTACCGGTTTTTAGGTAAGCTTACAAGTCTGTCTTGGTAAAATTACCAATAATTGGTAAAAAAAGTGAGATAGTGAAGGTACCAACGGACCTTGGTTAAAACGCCGAGAATTTTTTTTCAGTGTGCTGTTTTTATAGTCTCTTGAAAATTTTTAATTTTTCCGAGATGGGCGCTTTTTCGAACCGAGAGATTCATAATGTCAAGGAACACTATCCGTAATTTTGTCCAAAAACAGATATTTTATCCGGATAATTTGGCAACATTTGTTCGTTCATAGGATGTTTATCCTTAAAGCAGCAGTACTGGCCCTCGGTGCCTCGGTGCGGAGTCAACCTGTCGCATCTTATCTCGCGTCTGGGCAACAATAAATAACCCCGCCTGCAGTGCAGCGAATGCAGCCCGCCCGACGTCCGCCGAAAAAATCTGTCGTCGGATAACAATTTTTTACTCAGCTTTCGTTTTGCTCTCTGTGTANGGGGGGGGGGGGGGGGGGTCGGCGGAGATAAACCTTCGGGAGAACTTCCGGACTAAGAAATAATAAAGCGAAAAAAGTTGAGTTACACGGTACTTCATTATGGTCTCGCGATATCGCTGTGTAACTTTTACATATAAATAAAGATGTTCCATTATAAATATACTCCGACTTGGCTAACGTATTATCACAATACACACAAGTTAAACATGAATACTTGGCATTATACTCTGGTTTCTTATCAAATCGTATAAAATAGCCCAAATTTCAGACGCTAAAACTGGAGGTTAAGTCAGGAGGCATCATGCGAGTGTTCACTGTTGAGCATTTACAAAAACAGTAAAAAATGACATAATTTTCACATTTATGACAAAAAAATTAGAAAAACCAATATGTTTTGGTGATGGTTGCTTTCGGCGTTTTTGTTCAAAAGTCGTCAGCCCGCGGACCTTTGAAGTTCAACGGTTGACACCCGCATCGATGCCGCCAGACTGAACCTCCATTTGAGCGTCTGGAACGGGCTAATTTATGCAGTGGCGTGGCGTATTTTGCGATTCATCGATGTACCTGCACTGGTAAAAATTGGCGATAAGAGCTGCGTTTCCAAATACCATAGGAATTCTTGTAGCCGGCTAAAGAAGGCTACAGAAAATCATATAGCTGGCTGTAGAATGCGGAGAAAATCATACGGCCGGGCTACACGAAGCGATAAAAAATTATGCAGCCGGGCCATAGTTCCTATCGCCGGGCCTCACACTTTATCGCCTGGCTGTTGCTTTTTCGCTATCGTTTATAAAAGGCTATAAGAAATGGTGTAGAAATTCGTGCGCTTTGGAAATCATTAAGTTTGGTACGGAACCACCATAATTTTTACAAAATACACATTATATTTTCCTTTAATACATATTTTTTTTTCATCAATTAAAATGAGAATAATCCATACAGGATGTGCAAACATTTCAAAATCACGAGTTGAACAACGCTGACTTCGCCAAATTAAATATTAGAGCCTAACACAAAGCGGAGCGGCGACGCACTGGCGCCTACAAACCTAACAGGGATACTTCACGCATTGCGCAACGCGTGAAGTATCTCTGCTAGGTTTGTAGGCGCTAATGCGTGTTCCGCGCTGGCCAGGGATTTAGAGCTGTGAGGTTTGAGGGAGCATCATAAACGGAGCCGCATCGGCGCGCGAGGCGGAGGCCCGGCGCGGACTTTCATGCCGCTTCGATCAGTGCGCCGGGGGAGCGCATATGCCGTTGAGGCGGCTTCACCTGGTGAAGCCGACTCCCGGCTCCTTTTCTGATGCTGCATCAGTTTTGATGCTGAGTCCAGCATCAAAATTAGCGGCTTCAATTAGCAGACGCGTCGGACGCCAGCGCCCCGGCGTTGGCCACCGCGCCAATGGGAAACGTAAACAAAGGGGTGTTCCGCGAATTCATCGCCGAGTCCGAGGGTCGCGGTCTTCTGGGACAGCCCCGTCGGTAATTAAGCTGGGTGGCGGGTCCGAAAATTGAGGCCGTATCGGGCCGCAAGCCGACGGTCCGGCCTCAGAGGCTGAGGCCCATGTTGGTCCCTGAGCCAGCATCAAACCTCAGCATCAGCGCTTGAGGCTGGCAGCTGGCAGCTTGACTCTCCAGCATCGGGCTTCAATGCCCGAAGCCGGCGGCCGGCAGGTTGAGCGCATCAGGCTCGGAGCCGTATGCCCGAACGGCCGCTACCCGGGCATACGGCATTGATGCTGAAGCTACGAGTCGATGCTGTACAGCATAACCTCATGAGGCGCCTCAAATGCCTGGCGCTGGCTGCCCGCCTGCTACGGCGCTTGAAGCAACTATTTCACATCAGAGGTATTGAACAGTATCATACGAAACGGAAGGCGCTCTAATATATTAGTAATGGCAGACATCCATCAAAAGAACGGAGCTTTCCTCGCAAAATAAATCAAGATACTCCGGCCCAAAAAGTGAGCAGTATTCCAAAAACTCACTAAGTCCTAGCATCCGTAATTAGTAACGTTTAGCAGACACTTTATCGCCTGGCTGTTGCTTAATCGCCATCGGTTATGAAAGGCTATAAGAAATTGTGTCGCCGGCTATAGAAGCTATTGGAAATCTTACAGCCGGCTGTAAGTCTATGGTATTTTGGAACACAGATTCTACTGCCAATTTTTACAAGGGTGCCATTTAAACCCATGAAAAGGATCGATAATCAGGGCGTTCGCAACGAACACTTCAGTAATCGATTCTTTGCCATGGCCTCAAATGGAGAAATATTGATAATCAATCATCCACGCCTCGCCACTGAATTTAAATCTATCTCGATTCTCTCTCGCGGATAAGAGAATGATAATTTCAACCGTTCTCCTGGCTGATTATGGCGCCAGCCAGGAGTATGTGCTCGCACCAGCCAGAGGAATTTTTGGATCAATCTGAAATATGGTTATATCAGTCATTCGTTTAATCATTCCTCCAGCTTGTGGAACCACACTTGAACTGCTTATTTGAACATTGGAGGATCCAGCAAATTGACGACACTATTTTTTCTCAATTTTAACCGATGGAAATGTACTTGGCGGATTCAGCAAATTGGCAACACTGTCTTTTCTCCATTCAAACCAATGGAAAAGTATCGATTTTTGAATCTTGGAGGTGCCAGATGCTCCGACAAGAATTCATTATTTAGTATAGGTTTGAATGGAGGAAATCTGGATTTGCCAAATTGTTGGGTCCGCCTCAGGAAATGTATTGCTTCTCGAACGTATCAATTGTTTCGACAAAAATCGATTGTTGAACACAGGTTCAATTGGAGGAAAACCATGCAGTTTTGCCAAACTGCTCACTCCGCCTCAGGAAGAAGAGCGTAACCGCCAGAAGTCGCATCAGGTTTCGAGAAGAAATGAATTCATTTAATTTCTTCGAAAAAGCGTTACGTAATTTGTGAACGCTCTATTTTCTGTTGATTGTCAGGCGGTAATATTGCTTCCAACATATTCAGACATTCTTCAAACTCAAATTTTAAATCATTCTGTAATATGTCAAGTATATTAATTTACTAGTCGGAAGCTGGAATAATGTAGGGAACGGATTGAACAAACATACCAGAGAGTCATGAGGTCTTTCAACTGAAAATTCATTAGTATATATTTCATTCACCAGCATCAATCTCGAAAATCTGAGAACTCATTTCGACGAGTGGAATTCTGCTCTTCCATAAAAATTAGAAGCGTTTTAATGAACGTTGCTAAAATGAAAAACGAAATTCAAAAGCCGGTAAGCACCATAAGTGTTGCTTAGATTGTGCACGAATTTACTCGCTATGAAAGAACAAAAATTAATTTTCTTCTGAGACTCATTCCTAAATTTGGTCTTATTTTCTTGATAAGAATCCAACTTCTCAGGCCTCAGAATGCCCGTTGAATGAGAGGAACAGTTGCACAATCATAGCAACGTCTGATGACGCTTACTCTGCTTTGAATTGTGACTCTTAAATAGTGGCGTGGCGTGCTTTGCGATATATCGATTGATCTACCATTAAAACCCATGGAAAAGGATCGATAAACAGGGTGTTCGCAACGAGTACCCTAAAAATCGATTCTTTACCATAGCTTCAAGTGGTGATTCATCGATAATCGACCATTCACGCCTAACCACTGCTCATAAACGAACTTTTACCCCACGTGCACTTCGGAATATTTCAGCTGCAAGTAATGAAACACATTCCATAGGGGTCGATGACTGCATTGGGTCGAAGCAGGGAAAATTCACGAAATAATGAAAACTTTTCCGCCATTATTTTTGCGGAGGCAGACAGCCCGTGCTTTTATCAAGGGATGGACTCTCGCCAGAGTTCCCTCTCCTCGCGATACGGGATACGCTTGTTCCATTCTTCCCATCGACTTAGAGTTAATGCTATTAGCAACTGTCGTGTGGGGTCAGATAAAGCCCCGAACGAACAGGATCCCCGACAGATCTTACCGTCAGCTCGCCGCCAAAACCCGACGTTCGAGCCAAGTAAGTTGGCTTTTCTGGAGATTTTGATATTGTTTCGGTGGTCTTAAACCATCGAAACTTTCGAGTGAAAATGATCGATGTTTCATGGTATCGATGCTTGTTCTCCCCTGCTATGGAAAAACGCCGTAAGAACCTGTAGCCGGTGCCGAAATTTCTTTGACAAACACGAATTTTTGGGGAAATTCGCAAGTATTTTACCATTAATTTTGCAGAGAATTTTGTTCGCACTTTAATCTGAAGCATTTGAAAATATCGAGGAAAAATATTCATAACTTTCCTCAAAAATAAATGTTTTCCAAGAGATAATTTGGCAACATCTGACTGCTTATACGGTGTTTTTCTTTGGCACGTCAGTGTTGGTATTGATGCAATTGTACTTTATAGTCGGACTTGCAATTTTTAGGGCCCTTTATAAACGCAACCCGAATATCACTCTTAAAAAGATACCCAAATCCGCAAAATTCAAAGTTTCGCTTAAATAACTAGTAGGAGGTTCTTGTGTTTGCGCTGGAAAAAGGGTGCAGCATGAAAGTCTTTCTCAGAACAGTATATGTATATTCTTGAAAATTTCAATCGGTATCGGTACAGTATGGCCACAGTCATCAGGGGAAATGTTGAAAAGTCAGGGAAGTAAATGGAACAGGTAAAACCTAAAAAGGTAGAGAAAAATTGTGTTCGCAGAAAAAGCAATGTTTTGCATGTTATGTCTTACAGCTTCAGCGTTTCTTTTCACTGGATTGAAAATTTCTTAAAATTGAAGGAGGCTGGTGCAAGGACAGCCAAAATGCGAAAACTTCGTTTTTGCAAAATCTTAATGAACGCTTTGATGCACCTCCTCAATGCACAAGAGCTCAAGCTGTGAGAATGCAACAAAACTATTTTAATAGTCCAAAACTGCAACAAGTTACCGACAATTTTAAACTTCGGATACATTTTTCTCCGAAAAACTTTCCACGTATGGACTGTTTTTGCAGCCACCGCCTCAATTATTACTTTTCGTCACGGCGAGTGTTTCAAAAGTCACGAGCTTTTCTCAAAATTGACCAGGAACAATTCGAAAAAGTCATTTCAATTCAATGATGCTACACTTCTGTAGCCATCCAGACAGTAGCTCTGGAAAATCGATACTTTGCCATTGGTTTCGATGTAAGTATCGGTGCCACGTATCGAAACTTACTCCGGTATCGATATCCATCGGAAGTGGCTACCTATTGGTACGGCCCGAAAGTTGCGCCTGATCTGGGACAACCGCGGAAAGAATGCGGCAGCGCCATAAATCATATGCGTTGTTGTCAAATTGTGCTGAAAATCAAGAACATAGCGTGGTGTAAGCATACTTTATCATGCAGTCTGGCAGCAATGATCATACGTCATTTCTTCTGTTTCAGATAACCGGTGGAAGGAGGAGCAGCGGGTGATTAATTTGGACTGGCGCCCTCCCGAAAATGCAGCGGGGGTGGGGGTGCTGACCCGATTGCCGCGTGACGTCACGGAGAGATAAGCCGACCATGAGACCGCTATCGTGCATCCGCCCGGAGGTCCCCCTGCAGCGCCCCCCGCGGCCCCCCTCGCCGACCCCCGCCGATTAAGATGCACCGTCGCCACGACTCCCCCAGGACGCTCCCGCCTTCCGACCAGGCCGTGGAGACTTGAGATGGGAACGTCACCTGCCGTCGATTAGAGCGCCGAGTGCGTGTGTGAGAGCTAGCCCGAGGTGTGCGCACAGCACTGTCTACCGGAGCTTATCCGCCAAGCCGAAAATCGCGCCATCTGTACATCGCGATCTATTACCAGCAAAGGGAAGTTCCTAGTTTTTGGAAAAGTACGTGTGCGAGACCCAGTCCACAGAGAGCTTATAGCGTCATCTACTTGCGCCCGCCCGGAGCTTTTCTGCGTATTCAGGAATCGCGCCATCTGCAAGTCGCGATCGGAACTGCTTGTGATCGGCAGTGCCATCTGTTAACAGCAACTCGAAGCTTCTTCTAGGTTTCGGGAAAGTGCGTGTGCGGGACTCAGCCCAGGTGTGCTGACAGCGCTATCTACCTAAATCTACCTGGGAGTTTCTTCGTGATCGGAAACCACGCTAACTTTTCCTGCCCATCGAGATCGGAGTGTCAACCATCGGAAGCCACACTGAGATTCGGCGAGTTATCTCACTTTCAATATTTGAACTTCTGAGGTTAGATTGAAGCTATGTGATACGATCTAAAGCTGTCTGATGTCAGAACTTTTAAACAATTCAACGCAATGCGCTATCTTTCGCTTTGCTAAATAAGCCATTGTAACTAACGAGAGTTCAGGTGCGTGCGATACATTCCAGACCCGAGTTTCATCTGATGGTGGAAATTTTATTCGGTTTTCTCGCAAGACCCAGAAGGAACTAAATTTCGAGGTGTGGATTTGGAGCGAAGCTATTGGCGCGCCCTCTGGCGGTGAGAAGGGGGCACTGTCGGTTTGCGTTATGAGTGGCCCGTGCGGAATACTGGGGGTTTGCTGATGGCAGCCGAGACGACTGTGAGGGTGTGGTCCACCGAGGGGGAGCCCCTGGGGTCGCCCCTCGGGGACAAGGGGGAGCGAGTGCCCCCCGCGGGGGGTCCGGGGCCCGGGGGTCAATTCGTGGAGTGGAACGACGGCCTCGGGCACTACATCAACAACTCCTTCCCGGCCAACTTCACCGAGTACGCCCAGACCAATTCCACCGACGACATCAATTCCTTCTTCTTCTATGAGGTGAGTTCTACTTCTTTGACAATGATGTAGAGGCGAATTTTTTGTTACAATGTAATTGGTTATCAGTGAAGACTAGAGTCACGTTATACTGAGGGTACACGGACATTATGTCCACTTTTTTTACGTCCACAGACTTTTCGTCCACAATTTTTACGTCCACAGTTCTAAAGCCCGCACTATTGTTAAGTCTATTACTTAAACGTTAAAGTTAAGTCCACAAATGTAAAGTCCACTAAAATCAAATTCAAGCGTCAGTTTGAAGCGTTTCCTCAGTCACTCCGCGAGTTTAAATATTAGAGCCTAACACAGAGTGGAGCGGCGGCGTGTTAGCAGCGCAGAACGCGCACTGGCGCCTACAAACCTAACGGGATACTTCACGCATTGCGCAACGCGTGAAGTATCCTGTTAGGTTTGTAGGCGCCTATGCGCGTGTCATGCTGGTTGCCTGCCGCGCCGCAACGCTTTAAGCACCTATTTCGCACACGAAATAACTAGTTAAAGAGGACTTTCAATTTTGACTGCATCTGTTACTGAAAAACGTTTAATTTGGCATTGGAGCGTTTCCTAGGCTCCCGCTTTGGTTTTCATCTTATCATATCCGTACAGTGTACCATGAACATATGTTTTTATCTGCTCTTAGAGTTCTGTTCTCTTTCATGACTAACTTGATTCATGAATGAAATGTTTTTTAAAGGACTGGATTTAACGTTTAGTGGACATTAATAGCGGTGGACATTTATTTAATGGACGAAATGTAGGTGGACATAAAGTCCTGGAAGCATACTGAGAGTAAAGACAATGCAAATCCATTTCTGATTGGGTCCCGTATTATAGGCCTTCACAGTGTCACAAGTGGGAATAAAGATTACATTTTCACCAATTGCAAAGATTATAAATAGGAATGGACCGGAGAATTGGGGGTACGGCAAGGAACAAATGAAATGAGGGAGGGAACGGAGACAGAAATTCGGGAATGGGTTAATCAACTATTACAAAAAACGTCCGATTTGTGTAATCTTTATTTTGTTTGTGACATCTATAAGCCGCGTTGTCTCAACAACTTGTCATTTGGTGTTTAAGTCCTCCAAACACCAAACGAGAAATGCCGTCTAAATATGCCGAGAGGAGGCAGATTTTCTAACTTGTAACTCCATTTTTCTACGTTTCCCATATAGCTGGAAAAAATCATAAAAAATACTGCGAACGCCCCTAATTAAACTCTCTCAGATGCAGGAATAAAAAAAAAATTCGTACAAAGTTTCCATCGACGAATCTAATGAAGTCTCAGAGTCATACAAGTCCTGAATGAGCAACTCGGGAAAAATCCTCCAGTACAAACAAGTGGCACCCGCGATACTTTCCCAAGTCAGTTTTCACAAAGAATTTCCCATCGAATCGCCATAGTCACTACAGAAGTTACCCACCCCTGAGAATCTCACAAAACAAGCGGCGCACACTGGATCGAGTCAAAAGACGAGGTCAGACAAAATTTGGAAACTGGAAAATCTTCACCGAATATAAAGAGGCGCTGTAGTAACATCCTGGATGTTAAAAAAAACATGCGACAACTGTTGGATGTTGTCATTACCACTCTGACTGTTAAAGTAACATCCTAAGATGCTACTTTTACATCCTACCATGCTATGTTAACTGCCAGAGTGTTGAAAGCAACATCCAAGAGTTGTCGCAAATTTTTTTCAGAACCGTAACATCCGGGATTTTATTACAGCATCTTTTTTTTCGGTATTGTAACTCCGTTCACACAAAACTTCGAAGTTTTAAAAGTGGTTTCATTGGTTTCATCGTAGAATATTGTTCTGAATGCACCCCTTATAATTTAAAATGTGACGAGATAAACAACAAAATTTGCAGTTTTAGCAAAAAATCTCATGTCCGACCTCTCCGATTGACCCGGTCCACCGTGCGGCGAACGCATTTGAAAGGCTTTCGCAGGAGCAGAGAAAAGCTTTCGTGCTTTCACTCCGTTTGGCGGGATCGCCTTCCGCGCGAGCTCGCGCCAGCGACAAAGGAGGAATTGAAAAAATTTGTTTGACTCAAACGCGAGTTAATAGCGCACCTGCGGGGGCGCGGGGCGGGGGGCCGCTGTAGGTGGCACGCTGCAAGTCTGCCCCACCGTGCGAAAACCGCCTACGTCAACATTAACAACCGTGTTCATACGCGCTTTTCCCCGCGGTGCGGTGGAGTGGTGAGGAAAGGCGTGCTCAGACTAAATCATTTTTGATTCATGACCTGCACGGGGTCTCTAACAAGCTCGCCGCCGTGCCGAGCGGAAAAAAAACCTACCCGCGTGGAGTTTCTCGGTGCGGATAGGCGGTTTCGGGTTGAGTGCGCCTTGTAATTTTTTGAGCCCTCCCAGCAACGCCCTCTATTGCCGACTTGTCAACTAAACGATGGATTAATCTCCGTAGATTGGGGGCACCGCCTTGCATAGTTAAAAATGGAACTTGGGTCGGAGTCATTGATGAGTCTTTTGCAGGAGGAGATGTTAATTAACGAGGGTGAGGCGTCATTGAGGCCCTATTTATAGCCATTTATGAACGAATTGTGGGGGATGTTATCAGAGAACGATGGACCATTCGGCTCGGAAAGGAATCAACCACGATAACAAGTTTTTCGTCGAAATTTTACGGGGTAGCGACGCAAACATCGGAAATGTTCGTGTTAAGCCCATGAATGAGGAATGAGGGGCCTGGAGGGCAAAGCGCATGAGTGCAGTTTTCGAAAAAATTGAGGTATTAATGATTTCAAGTAAAACCAGTCTTAATGCATATTCTGCGAAGAATTCGCTCGCTTAAATTTCAATTTTTATGCATTAAAAAGTCAGTTCGGACTTTTTTTTCCGCCTTAAGGATCCATGTAATTTCGAAACTTCAAACACGTATTTCTCGAAATAGCAAAAACTTCAACTAAGCGCCTTTGTCCTCCAAGCCCCTTAAATGAGCGCTCGATGTGCGATACCTTTTAGGGTAACGCATTATGCGTGTTATTAATTGAAAGTAGTGCAAGAAATGTTTGGCCTTTACATGCTTGTGGTTTTATTTTTGGCTCAGAGTGTGTAGAATTTCGGACGACGAGTTTATCTTGGGCCGAACTGATCCTACAAGTTCAATCAGTAAATGGCAGCTCTCAAATGGAACAATTTAAACTTATACCTAAAGGTCACCATATCAGCAAAGTTTTATGCATACCCTGGTAAAAATTGGCGATAGGAGCTGCGTTTCAAAATACCATAGAAATTCTCATAGCCGGCTAAAGAAGGCAATAGAAAATCATATAGCTGGCTGTAGAAAACGGAGCGAATCATATAGCCGGGCTATACGAAGCTATAAAAAAAGTATACAGCCGGGCTATAGCTCCTATCGCCGGGCTTTAAAAGGCTATAAGAAGTTGTGTAGAAATTCGTGCGCTTTGGAAATCATTAAGTTTGATACGGAACCACCATAATTTTTACAAAATACACATTATATTTTCCTTTAACACATATTTCTTTTTCATCAATTAAAATGAGAATAATCTATACAGGATGTGCAAACATTTTAAAATCATGAGTTGAAAAACGCTGACTCCGCGAGATTATATATTGGAGCCTAACACAGAGCGGAGCGGCGCGGCGTGCTGCCAGAGTTAAGCGCGCACTAGCGCCTACAAACCTAACAGGGATACTTCACGCATTGCGCAATGCTTGAAGTATCCCTGTTAGGTTTGTAGGCGCTAATGCGCTTTTCGCGCTGGCTACCCGCCCGCCGCGCCGCAGCGTGCCACGGCGCTTGAAGCAACTATTTCACATCAGAGGTATTGCACAGTATCATACGAAATTGAAGGCGCTNGGGAGAGAGGAGAAGGTGGGCAGCGCGGTAGAAATAGCGGGAAGAATGAACTGAAAATATATCCACTAAAAATGACAAATAAAACTATCCTTTGGGTCTGAAAACCCAACAATTAATTTGATATATTTTGTGTGCGATGGTGAAATAAAGTCAATTTTGAATAGTTACCATGAACGCTGACTGCTATAGTGAAATCACATGTATCTAAATCGCAGAATTTTTCTAAAAAAAGAAACAATTAGTTCCTCACTTTTTTAACAGACAGTGACACAAAGAAGGACATTTTAGTCGCGCTTTTACGTCAATTCAACTGAAAAGCTGAAAAAACTATTACGAGCTGGTGAAAGCTTCGCATGCATCACAATTCATCCAACTTACTGGAGCCCGAATTTATCACGGTATATTTTCATCGATTGCACCACATGCAATTTAAAATGGACAAGCTCCACTGTGAAATGTAATTGTTGAAATCCCTTGCTCGTTGATTTTTATCAATGCATTCATCACCTGGAAAGTCCAATTTTGATAATGGGTATTTTATCACAGGTTTTCTCTCAGTTGTAAGCCTGCGGTTAAGTATTAATGAAGGTACAAGTTTCTGCAGTCCATTGAATGTTTTCTCTTTAAATTTTTACGCAAAAAATGATTCCCACAACGGGAAGTTTTGAAATGAACTAACAAAGCATTTGGCTACAGTAAAAAAATGTGTCACTGTATTGCAACGTTTAAAACCCTCCGATTTCAATTTGTATGTTATTGTAAAAAATCAATAAAGCATTTTAAAAAAGAATTTTGGTTCGTTGATTGGATGGTTGGTTGGTTGGTTTCTGGCAAGAATATCGCAAGTAAGAGCGAAGATGCGAACATAGATCTGCGATCTCACAATCGGAGATCCGAATTCAGCCATCAGTATTTAAGTTTTTGCATTCAACTTTATAGTTAAATTAAAAAAATACAAAGACAACGTTCAAATGCTTTGCGTCTCATTCAATTAAGGTTGCATTTAAAATTAATAGATTTTTTTCATAAAAAAAATTATATTTTTTCATTACTTTAAAATATTTTACAACCACCTCACGTGAAGTGTCTATTACAATTTTTCTAATTGCACTTTACAGTCTTTATTAAAACCTTAACCCGGGGGGCATGAAA